TTATAAGAATGCCATTCAGACTCATGAAGAAGTAGTTTAGTGTGTTGTTTAAAAGTTTTTCTAGAAAAGACAAATTATTAGAAGCAACAAAAATAATACAGAATAATTTCATCAGGTCCTTTTCAGTAAATGATGGTTTTCTGATTGGCTTCTATTTTGCTATGATAATCATAGTCTGTTAATAGATGAGTCCTACCCATGGCATCCATTTTGTACTTACTCTTACAACATATTCCAAAACTCCAATTTGTCTACCAGCCCAAAATTGTTGCCTACTTCTGCCAAATAAATGCTACTTGTTAAACCAAGAAGACTTCTGCAGGCTTAGGTTTACATTTATGCACACTAAATAATATGCCAAGTTTCCCATATAAATGAAACTATTAGTATGGAAGAAACTAAAGGAGGACAATGATGCTTATAAAAAAATATTTGATGAGGTTAACTGTCCCCACCCATCCATCCAGACAGCAATAATTTAGCCTTATCCGATTAGCTGCACCTTCAGATTCTTATAATACAGGGACTGATTTTTTTCTCAATTTATGCAGTGGCTGAGAATCAGAACTATCAGAAATATAGTGGTTCTACATCAGAAAACTCACAGGGCCCCACTAAAATAGGAGCAGCTGTTGCTGAACTGTAAAACCTGGATGACTCAAAGTGTATGTTCAGTGATGAGCTGTGCTGGAGTCTTAGTTCAACAGTATCTGAAAGACCTCAGACCCTCGATCTTTAAATTGTAAAGTCACTGAATCATCTTCAGAGCTAATTTATTTTGACGTTACTACTTATGAGTTTAAAAATGCTTGCATCACTTGGTCTTTGAATATGCTTCTAATTTGGGTGGGGAACATTTGGAGTTGTTCTTATTCTTGCTTCCTTCCTTGTTCTCACCAATTTCCCTGCATTCACTTTGTTTGGGTTACTAAATGGAAAAGGCAGAGTTGGGAATCTGGCAGATAGTAGTGCAGTGATGTAGATTCAAAGGGCAAATCATGGGTGCATAGGTGGCCCTTGTTTGAACATTAAACCAAATGTATCTTTTCATCAAGACTTTGGCAGCAATTGTGGAAGAAACTGCTGAGTTCAAGGAGAAATGTGCTTCAAATTATTTTGCCCTTCAAAACAGATTTCTTCATAGCCTTCCTCCTCAGCATTATTCTTAACAGAGTTGTATGACTACTGACCACACAAGTCACACATCAGACTTTCTGGGACATATTGGCTAGTGACTATACTAGATGTCCTTTAGGAAGGCTGTTAAAATAGACTTGTTTAACAGGGACTTTTATTTGGCATAGTTCCAGTGGATTGAGAAGCCAGCAAACATTTGTATAGGATGTACTATTGAGTTACTTACATGTTGTACCTTGAGATCTCATTTTGTGATATACAGCATAGAAATATAATAAATATAATTAATAAATACATACATACATACATACATACATACATACATACATACATACATACATACATACATACATACTCAACAACTTCATTCTAAAAGCACAGGACCAAGTGTGTTGGGGGATAAGTTCAAATATACATCTGAAAGCTCAAAGCATCTATTTTTCCTTAGGTACTCCAATTTTGCTCCTCTCCTTAATGCAAAAGAAGCTTTTATATTTTCCAATACTCCTGAAATGCAATAAAGGCTCCACTGGATGGAACTGCAGAAGTGAGAAAACAATGCTGGCAGATTGCATATGACCTCTGTAGTTAGATTTTGTTTCATTTGTTGTTTGCATATCTGTGTAGGACTCAGGAGCTGGAAAAAGAAGTAAGGGAAGATTTTTTTCAAAGGAAATACAAAGCCATTCCATCTGAAAAATTAAAACAAAGCAAAACCCTCAACCAACCAATCAATCAAAATAGAACTGGTAGGGACCTTGGAGATCTTCTAGTCCAACCCCCTGCTCAAGCAAGAGACCCTATATCAGGGCTGTCAAACTCACATTGTTACGGCGGCATCACGTGATATATCAGGACTTTTTCCCCCTTCACTAAACCGGGTGTGGGCATTGCCAGCACATGATGCATCTGGCCCATAGGCTGGGAGTTTGACAGCCCTGCCCTATACCATTTCAGACAAATGACTGTCCAGTCTCTTCTTAAAAACCTTCAATGATGAAGTAACCACAACTTTTGACAGCAATAAACAGCACTTTCAACTACATTGCATCTGAACTGGAATTACATTGGCTCATTTTCCCAGTGCTCATAGTACCCTGGAGCTTCTTTCTGACTGGCAAATAATCCAAGTATAGGTGTGTCCTGATCAAAGCCTGGATCTTCCTTCTCAGATCATTTTTTGCTATTCCCCTAGTAATAATGTACCTGCAATTCTGTCAATAAACGTCTCACTTCAGAAGACACCTTGCAAGGATAGCCAGATGAATCCAAATTCCGTAAACAATACTAATCCTTCTAGCAAAGAATAGTTTCACCTCTGACATACCTCTCCATTCAGTATTGCACTCAGATCACACTGCTTGAAGGGAGGGCTGCTCCTGGCCCAGCTATAGAAATGGGAGGAAAAATATGGGATGGCATTCCAGCTCAGCTACCTTTGCATATAGGAAAGATGAGTCACTCTTACTCCCCAAAGGCAGTCTAGTAGGAAATGGGCAAGTGAAACATGCATTTCTCTAAATATGGAATGAATCTGCTTCTTGCTTTTAACATACCCTGAGATACAAAATTTTACTTAAGCAAATAAAGGAAATTTCAATAATTTTGCAGAAACAATTGTCCTGAAATTTCCTCCTTCCCCCCTCTATAATTTCTAATTAAAAATATCTTGATATGGACTGTTCAGCCTTTCTCAGCCTTTTGCTTTTTCTCTACTGAAAATGTCAAATCATTTCTATATCTTCTCCCCACCTTATCAGCTGCAATAAACAGACAAAACAGTGACAATGTACTGAATTTCCTTTATGACAAGTATTTGCACATTTGAGTCTTGAAAACTCAGTATGACAAGAAGGGGAGTTCCAGCTGCAGCTGTTTTTCCGGCCATTCACACTTGCTGCTAGATGTAAACAGGCTTAGTGGGCCTCAGCTGGCTCCCAGTTGCTATGGGATGGGTTGCTTCCATCACAAGTTCAGAGCAGGAGGCAGTCTAGTTATTTGGTACACATTGAGATTTTCAAGGAGTTCTAGCAGCCAGAAAGGAATGAAACAAGCTGATATTTGTCCCTTCTTCTTATGCATTGCTGTTGCTTATTATTCCTGATAATCTTAAAGCATCTTATTCCCTAATATTTCCTGCAATTCAACAGCTCTTAACATTGGTTCTAGCTTCCCAGAATGTCACATTGCAGTGAAGTCTACCTGAGCAGCTTTCCAGTAGTGTTAACTAAAAGCTGTGGCAATGAAGAAATATTGTGTGTGTCATATTTTGTCCTATTTCTTGATAGCTACAACTGGCAGAGCTCCTCTAAATTTGGCAAAAGTAGACGGGAAGGAATGGAGGGAGGGAGGGAAGAAAGGCATCTCCTTTTCTCCAGGTCTCATTTTCCCATGACTCAGTCATGATTCAGACCTTGCAGTGCTCCTCCTTTGCTTCTTAATTTGTGGTTCAGTTGTACATAGAGTTCTCAGAAACTAATAGGTGGGATGGCTTTGTCCACAGATAAAGCAACTAGATCACATGCTAAAATGTAGGCAATTAAATTCTGATGACCACCTGAAATTGCAGAATAATTCTCTGCATATCCTGTTAACTACAAAATCTGGAGATCTTTACATGATGATTCTACAATTAAACTCAGGCATAAGTTGCTTTTCTTGGTCTTGCTACTATTAATATTACTATTATTGACTGTTGCAGTTAGATAGATGTTTAGGCTGGATTTGGTGTGTTGTACACATATCAAATCTTTCACAAGGATCTTGGATAGGTAGATATAATTTAATATTATAAAACATATCATTACAAGATATAAGCTGTTCCAAGTAAAGCTGCATTTTGCAACTGAGTGACAGTGATTTTGTCAATGCTGATGGTATTCAGGTAGTATGCCAGATGGTTTGGAATTGCAGCCAAGGCACCTATTACTATTACTACATTTTTTGCCATCTCTTTCTACTTCTATTTGTAGGTTTTTGTATTTTATGATTTTCTCTGTTTCTTTCTTTTCTATTCTCCTATCTTCAGCGATTGCCATGTCCAATACCCAGACATTTTTGTCTTTCTTATCAGCAATTATTAAGTTTTGGGTGTTACATGGCAGATATTGCTCTATTTGAATTAGAAAGTTTAGCTGCTTTGTTTTCTATTACTTTGTCTAGTTGGGTTTTTTACTAATTCTTACAGTCAAATGATATTCCTTGCAACTACTATTGCTACTTTGTTATGCTGCTGCCTTGTGTGAAGTTTTGCAGCATGTATACAGGTGATTTACTGTTTCTTCAGCTTCTTTGCAAAGATGGCAGTTGTTGTCTGTTTCTGTCTTCTCAGTTCTGGTTTTGTATGCATTTATTCTTAGAGCGTTGTCTTATGCAATCACAATTATACCTCTGTGTCTTTCTTCAACTTTTCTGCTCTTAGCCATTGTCAGGGATTAGTATATGTGCTTTGCGTACAATTTTATTCATGTAAGGGCCATGTAATACTTTGCATTAGCATGTCTTTTTCTGTTCTTCATTTGATCTTACGTATAGGCCACTTTGATTTCTTTAGCTTTGTAAGCCCTCATAGTATAGAAGCTTCAGTGGATCTTCTGCGATCTTCTTTCACTGCTCTTTTTTCTTCATCATCTTTCTGTTGCAGCTGCAACTTTATTATCATACAATAATAATATATGGAAGTATTATTATTATGACTGCTGAATCCCTAAAGACTTTGAGCATAGTATAGTTGTACTATTAATGTAGAGATATTTCTGAATGTCCTCAGTTTCCCTAATTCTGTTTTAAAACTTTGTTCTCCCTTCAACATCAGATGATGTTGTTCTTTTTCATTCCTTAGGGAACATGTACATGAAAGCCTTTGTGACTATTTTCTTCAGTTAACTCCTGCTACAGGGATATGTCCTTCTTGAAAGTCTAAGAGTAATAAAAGTTCCATTGGAAAAGTTAGGTAAGTAACATTGAAGCATAAATACGTTTTATTTTCATAAAACATATTTTTATGTGATAGCTCCTTCCTTTCTTTTTATTAATTTATATACCCTTATTAATTTATATTCTGGCATTGATTAGTTAAGGTAATGATAACAAATAAAAATAACTATTCTAATTTGTGAAGGAAAATGCAGAATCATTATTCATATTAATCAAGAAAAGGCAAAAAGGACTGTGACATTTCTAGTTCTTCAGAATTCGAAATCAGATAAGGTGGAAAAGAAGCTGGTCTGATTGGTTTCACTATCAATCATCAACTTGCTTCTGAATGTTTGTAGAATGAAAATTGTAATATTGCTTTACAAAATGGGAACCCTGATATTATTATGAAGCTTCACTTCACAATAAAAACCTAAGATAAATAAATGGTGAGTCAGAAAATAGTATATGTAGTTCAAGCAAATCCACTACTCCCAGGATTGCTTCTATTGGAATCCATCGGAACCTGTGAGAAAACAAGTTTTCATTCCAATTCACATTCTTCTCAACTACTTTCCAAACACATTTCAGCCATAGGGCTATATAAGTTGCTCCTTTAATAGTAGAAGGATTTAATAAGTTGAAAATGGACTCTCTTCAAATATTTTATGTAAATTTAATTTAAAAATATGAAAATCTTCTGTGACTAATATCCCGTGAAATCTGGTTTGACTTTTTGTTAAATGAATTCATTGCTTGGGATCCAAGATTTTGGAAAGTTAACTCCCATTTGGATGTACTTGCCATTTAATGTATTTACATGAGTGTAAGACATATTACAGATCTATTAGCAAAAATAGAGCTTTCACTATTTTGTTGCATTTCCAAAAATAAAAATGTTTTCAATGGGCACAATGGATTAGTCAAGTTCTAGCAGATGCAAATCTTCAGTGAGTCAATTTTTCATCTCAGATATGGTAACATTTATGAAGATGAAAGGTGATCTTTTCTTTCCCTGATTAAATTCAGTGTGTTCTCTTATATATGGAAATCAATATGGCATTGTTACTATTATATGTTTCCAATATTTTTAAAAGCTTTGCTTTGTCTCCCTTTAATAGTAAACAACTGTCTTTTTCAGTAACCAGGGAACAAGATGGACAATCTAATAAATGGAACAAATGAAGGATCTACCACCACTGAATTTGACTATAATGATATGGCAACACCATGCCCAGCAAAAGCTGTCCAAAAATTTGGTTCAAATATCCTGCCAATCCTTTATTCTTTGGTATTCATCTTTGGTCTTTTGGGTAACATGCTAGTTGTATTGATTCTAATCAAATATAAGAAATTTAAGAGTATGACTGATATATACCTATTAAATTTAGCTATTTCTGATTTGCTTTTCATTTTCTCAATGCCATTTCGGATTCATTATGTAGTAGATGAATGGGTATTTGGAGATGCAATATGCAAAATTATTTCTGGAATCTATTTTTTAAGCTTCTACAGTGGAAGCTTTTTCATAATCCTCCTGACTATTGATAGGTATTTAGCAATAGTTTATGCAGTGTTTGCATTAAAAGCCAGAACAGTATTCTATGGCATCATCACAAGCATTATTACCTGGGGCCTAGCAATTCTAGCCTGTTCACCAGGAATAATCTTTCATATGGCACAAGAAGAAGCTGGTAGGATAACATGCTCTTTTCATTTTCCTTATCAAAGTCACTTTGAATGGAACATGTTCTTTACACTGGAACTGAACTTCATAGGCTTGATTTTTCCAATGATGGTTATGACTTTCTGCTATGCATGCATCATAAACACTTTGCTAAGATGCAGAAATGAGAAGAAGAACAAAGCAGTCAGGCTTATTTTTATCATAATGATTGTTTACTTCCTTTTCTGGGCCCCATACAATGTTGTTCTTCTGATCCAGTTGTTCAAAATGGATAAGTGCAGCAGGTTAAGTGGTATTGGTTTAGCAATTCAAATGACCGAAGCACTTGCAATAGCTCATTGCTGTATCAATCCTGTGATCTATGCTTTTGCTGGTGAGAAATTTAGAAAATATACTATTACCTTTTTCCGAAAACATGGTGGTCACCATCTTTCAAAATACTGTATCTTTCTGTACCGAGAACCTTTGGAACGGGCCAGTTCCACGTACTCTCATTCTACTGGAGAGCAAGACATTTCAGCAGTCTTATAAAGCATATATTTAGGGGGGAAATTGAGTGTTTATTATTGGTGCATTTTTATGGACCTTTGCAATACAGATAGTCCTCAACTTATGACCACAATTGAGCCCAACATTTCTATTGCTGAATGAGACATTTGTTAAGTAAATTTTGCCCCATTTAACAACCTTTCTTGCCACAGTTAAGTAAATCACTGCAGTTGTTAAGTTAGTAACATGGTTAAGTGAATATGACTTCTTCTCCATTGACTTTACTTGTCAGAAGTTGGCAAAGGGGGATCATATGACCCAGAAACACTGGAACCTTCTTAAATATGAATCAGTTGCCAAGTATCTGAATTTTGATCATGTGGATGCTACAATAGTCATAAGTGTCAAAAATGGTCATAAATCACCTTTTTCAGTGCCACTGTAACTTCAAAAGGGTCACTAAATGAACAGTTGCAAGTCGAGGACTATCTGTAAGAAACTCCTTTCAAAGGAGCCAATACAACTTTGATGTGAAAAGGTATGTTGAAAGGTATGGATAAAGATTTGTTTTGCTATGTTAATTCACAAACCAAGCCATATATCATTGTTCATATCATCTCAGTTGAATAATTATAAATGTAAAAAGGCATTTTGCAATAAGAGAAAAAAAGCCTTTCTTGGGCAAAGCATATTGTATTTGATTGCATTTGAGATAAGTTTCAAGCATTTTTTGCAGCAGGACATATGTTTACTAATTCTAATACAATATGTAGGTTAGTTTGGTGACATTTAATATGCCCCAGTTCCTTGTAAAATTAAGACTTCCTCTTCTCTAATTTCATCAAAGTTGAAATTCTGCCCATACTTTCCTGGTAAGACAACAGCTACTAGTTAGAAATGGAACTATACAAGGTGGTTTGTTGTTAATTTTAATTAATTAAATATTGCTTGCTCAAATTCTGGGTTCTTGACATTTTTATTTCATAGGTTCATGAATCATATATGGGACATTGGGGTAGCTCATTTCATTATAACATGACATAAAAAAGATTCCCTATCCAATGGGGAAAACAGTTCAACTTAAGAAGACAATTTCAAGGAGCCAGGGAAGACTCTAAGTGAATTAGCATTCTCCAAAATACTTATAAGGTTTCAGTCTGTAACGTAAATTAAATATTTCTCTATTAAGAATGACTTCCACTACTATTTACCCAACAATTATTCTAGAATTTTCTTTGGTCTGAGAACATCAATAACACACTCACATTTCCAATATTGTACAATTCTGGTCAGAGACACATTCAGCATACAAAAGAGATATTTTGTGCTGCAAAAAGCATAATCAATTAGGAAAAATAGTAACATTTGGATCTTTTCAGCTTAGAAAAATATCAAATGGACAAAAGAATACCAAATAGAAATGTGGATAATATGTTCTTCCTTACAATATATAGACTTTTGCTCAACCATTAAACTAAATAGATGTAAACAAGTAGCCCAATTTGCAGCTAAATTAGTATTGTCATCCAACAATTTCATTTTTTTAAGGAATGCTTCAGCCATCAGATCCCAGAATTCCCTGCACGGTAGATCAACATCTACTGGCATCATTATCATATGGTGTGGAGAGACCATATGGGAGAAATTCCTTCCTTCCTTCCTTCCTTCCCTCCCGCCTGCCTCCTTTCCGCTCTCTTTCTCTTTCTCCCTCCCTCATCCATCCATCTGTCCCTCCATACATGTATATATATATGTAGTCCTTGACTTCAAGAGAATTCCCTTTAGGGATGCAAGTCATGATAATTATTAACAGATGTCCATGTAACTGTCACTCCTGCTCTCTCCATTACATTCATGAAGTGACTATGCAGATTGCTAAGCAGAGCATAGGATTCCTCTGGGGTAAAAGAAATCCTGAGAGGCCTACAGACTCAGGGCCACCTGCCACAGGCCTCCAAATCTTCCTCCAACCCGCAAGGGACCCTGTGCTCCCTTGCTTGTCCTTTGTGGTCTCTGCAGACTTTGGGAGTGATTCCCACCCCTCCAGGTCCCATCCCCTCCTCGTCTCTCCACCTCCACTCCACATCACCAATCACTCAATTACCTCTGTGTATTACTGGAGCTCTGGAGCTTCCATTAGGGAAGCAGACCACCTCACCACTTTAGCATCTTTACAGGTCGCATGGTGCTATCCTGAAAGTGGGTCCATTTTCAGAGCACCCACAATTCATTGCAACTGCTCTGAAAATGGCACCTGCTTCAAGAATAGAGCCATGTAACTTAAGGATACTGAAAAGTAGAGTGGCTGCTCCCTTCCCCAACACAAACTCTGGAGGTCTGAAGTTCTACAGAAGGTAAATGAATGATCATTAACAGGGGTTGAGGAGGAAGGTTTGTCATTGGTGGAGCAGGAAGCAAGCCCAAGACCTGTGAGGACTCAGTGGGGCACAAAAACAGGCCCAATGTTTCTGGGAACTTGGTGGGATGAGATGGTGGGAGATAGGTGGAGGGTGCTGCAGTGTTCCTGCAGTTGGTCATATGGGAAGAATTTATAAATTTATAACTGTCAGAAATATTGTATAAGGAATCATATGTTAACTAACCCAGGCTCCAACAAAGTTACTGATTAACAGCCTTTGAATTCCTTTAAACTTACAACAAACATAAAAATTAATTAAACAATTAATGTAAATATAATTATAGCAGTTCAAATGAAGAGACTCAATCTACATCACTTGATTTAATCAATTCCTTGGCCAGGTCAACAAAGCCATGTCCCTCAAGTGTCACCCTCGAACCAGCACATACATGCATACACATCTCTCAAGGTCCACATCAATGACAAGTTCCCCTATAAAACTATTTTGTATCTCATTTTCTCTGTAGTTTACCCTGCAAGCAAACCTCTTTGATTTGGGAATGAATAAATATTTCATTTGTATTTGTTCTTGTGGAATCCCACCTCAAGTTGGAACCCCAAATTATTCTTCTGAAAGTAATAAGGGTGAATTCTCACATCACAAGTTCTGCTAACATTTCAAATTCCATGCTTGGGAACATAACTATACTTCGATTACTTCTGAAAAACTGGCAGGGTTGTAAAGGAATTGCCAATCTAATTTTGAATGGTACAATACTTTGTACTGTATGGCAGAGGCAGCAACTGAAAAGACCTACTCCTCAGATCCTTCATCAAGGAGATCTACAGTATGCCTATATTGCTGAATCCAATAGGATTGGTCGAAACAATGAGGGAGAAGCAGTTTTGCAAATAACCTGGCCCCATGCTATGAAAGGTTTTAGATATAACAACCAAGACTTAAATTTTCCCTAGAAGCAAAAAAGCAACCAATGCAGCTTGTGGAGCAGTGATATAACATCCCATAACTGCCTGTGCCACTGCATTCTGCACCAGCTGCAAAGCTTGGGTGCCCTTCAAGGGCAGCATTCTATAAAGCAACAATCCATTTGGAAGGTGACTAAAATGTGAGTGGAGGTTGAGCTGAAGCCTGTTCTTCCCTACCCAGCATATTACAATTTCCAGACCATGAGATATAACTTCAAATGCATCCCTTTGTAGCCTAGGAGCAGAGATATAAAGCACAGTATCATCAGCATACTGATGATATCTCAACCAATACTGGCAAATGACCTCACCCAGTGGCTTCAATAAATATTAAATAAAAGTGGGATGAGACCCCTTGAGTCCTGAAGCAACACCCAAAGCTTTGGGTTAGATATCTGCTCCCAATCAGTACCCAATGCATTATTACGAGTGGTCTCAACTCAAAAGTTGATTAAAAGTCAAAAGGAATGGGCATACTACACACACACACACACACACACACACACACACACACACACACACACACTATAAGAGATAATATATTAAATTAAGATAAAACCATAATAAAACCACCATCCCATAGATGTAGTGACAACATCATAAATACCTTGGAATTTCCTGAGGGGACATTCTTGAACTATAAGTATTATAATTTGTTCTGGTACACCATAGTTGCATTTCTGGCATTTCTTGGCCATTCCCCACTTAAAGAACGTTTGTTCTTGCATAGCCTGTTTGATTCACAGTCTGGGACTGGTAAAAACTAAAAAGTTCAGGTCCTAACCAAGGACCTAAAAGCTGTTAAAGTAAGTATATTATTATCATTATTATTAATCATTGCGCAGTCAGCCAGATGTTCAAACTGGGTTTGGCATTTTTGTGTACCTATTGAGTCCTTACCAGGGACCTGGGATAGGCAGATCTGGATGCTTGATGGTGTTACAGAAATTATTGCAGGATGGAAGCTGATCCAAGTAAAGTCTCCTTCTGCAATTGACTAATGTCAATGCCTGTGATATTTTAGTGGTGCTCCAGTTGTTTTGAAATTGCATCTAAGGCACCTATTGGTACAACCCTTGCTTGCCTTTGCCACAGTCATTCTATTTCTATTTGTATGTCTCTGAATTTTGTTATCTTCTCCAATTAATTCTCTTCTATTCTGCTGTCTCCAGGCACTGCCACATCCACTATCCAGACTTTTTTTGTCTTTCTTATCAACAATTGTTAAGTCTGGGGTGTTATGTGGCAGGTGCATGTCTGTCTGGATTCTGAAGTCCCAGAGCATTTTAACTTCTTCATTTTCTATGACTTTATCTATTTTATGGTCCCACCAGTTCTTGCTTGCAGGCAAATGATATTTCTTGCAGATCTTCCAGTGCAGCATTACTGCTACTTTGTCATGCCACTGCTTGTAGTTGGTCTGTGCAACCTTCTTGCAGCAGCTTACCAAGTAGTCCATCATTTCCTCAGCTTCTTTGCATAGGCAACACTTACTGTCTGTTGCTGTGTTCTCAGTTCTGGCTTTGTATACATTTGTCCTTAAGACTTAATCTTGTGCAGCCAGAATTAGTCCCTTCAACTCTACTTCTTTTAGCCATTCTCTGCTATTTTTTAAAATGTACTGGCCATGTGATGTTTTGTCATTCCATGTCTCCATTCTGTTCTTCATTTGGTCTTTCTTATAGGCCAGATTGGACTTTCCAGTAGGCAGTAAGCCTTTCCGATATACTAACTTCAGTGCATCTTCTTCATTGTCCTTCAGCTATTCTTTCAAAACCTTTTTTTCTT